CATGAATCATATATGAACATTTCGATTGTTTAACTATTGTGTCTATTTCGTCGACAGGGAAACTGTCCCTCAATCTTCTTAAAATTCCCATGCAGTCCATGCGTCCGTCAAATCCCGAGCGATATTAAGCGGATGTCGGTAGCATGAAAATAACTATTATTTATATATATTACTCGAAATTATTTACGTAAAAAGATAAATTATATTCACACAAAAACTTTCATAACAATTTTATAATATAAAAAACTGTTCTTAACTTAGAAAAATCCGAAAATCAACGCAACATTGTACAACAACGAACACTCGACAATGACGCAGTTTGAATACAGATTATAAATGAATATCTATAGACTAACTGATTTTTTATTTAACTAGAGGATAGAAAATTTTATATTGATTCTATAATGCCAAACATCTTCATAAAAAGTAGTCTTTAAATATAAGTTTTTATGAGTTATAGTGCTGTGGGTGGGTGCGGTCTCATGAGACCGCTAGGGGATTGAGCGGTTAATAATGTTCTAGCAAGATAAGGTACTAGCTTTCATTTGTTCGCAATCTTACACACTTTCACACTCCGTCAGTAATTTTTACTAAATTGAACCCAAAATGCAAGTAGTGGGGCTGAAAGGACACTCATTCATACATATTTACACTGATTATACTATTGTGTTCATTTTCTTCTCGTCGTTTCGAGGGTAATTGCTGAAGATCAGTGTTTGCTCTCTGAGCAATATTAATCACTGAGCTAGAATCCATTTGTCAAACTCCAACACACATGTACATTTTTAGATCTTAAGATTTTGTAACTTTTTTGTAATACGTTACTTTGTATCTAATTTAAGGCCTGAATTTACGTGTGAGATTGGAGAAACAAATAAATGTTTTATCTGTATATTATATTATATATACACATATATATATTTACATATAATATATATATATATATATATCTATCTAAATGGATCTCCATTCAAACAAATGGTCGCTATAAACGAAATTCGGTCTATAGAACATTATTATAATATTCTTGTAGAAGTTCACTGCTGAATATTAGCTTCACCCATGTTAAACAAGCAGAATAACATCAACTATCTCTGTCTATCGGAGGTTATGATATCTTACGGACTAATTTCCATTAGCAATCAAGGGACTTTAATATATCAACACATATATCAAAACATATGTCACAAGGATATTATTGTCGTTAAGGGTTTCTCAGATTATTTTAGGTTGTATCCAAACCAAAATTATCTGAGAAACCCTTAATTCGCATTAAATGTCCCCTCAAATCATCTGCTTAAGGACAAATAACAAAACATAATAATATAATACCTATGAAATTGCAGTTCTACAGTAACGGCCACTTCAAATAAAAATAATTTTTGTTTGGCTATGAATTCTAATTTGTAATTAATTTTATTTGAATAACGTGGAATTCTTTTTCAAAATAGTCATTTATTTATTTATTGGCGTCATGTTTTATTGCATATTAATTTTTTCGCCATCATAGATATGTCAAAAATTTCATTAATTATGCAATATGAGTACTATCGTCGCAGCAACACGCAACATCAACGACGTTTACGTACCGAATACCTACTACTAACGAATGCACCACCTGTTAAGGTTTGCCTGCTTCCGTTTTGGAAATTTCGTCTGAAAGCTTTGAACGACAATAACGAATTAAAGGCGATTGTGGAATCTGTTAATACTCAGTCTACGGCTCAATTAGTAGCAGCTTTCGACGTTTACATCAAAACAATACAAGTTCATTTGCGTCAAATAGGCAAGGTAAAAAGCTTGACAAATGGGTGCCCCACGAACTCTACGATTGCCAGCGCGAAGTACGCGTCGAGACGTGCATTGCACTGCTCAACAGGCGACAAAAAAGGGATTCCGTTTGACAATCGCAAGCGCTCAACAAGTTTGTTTGATCCTGGTTTAGCACCTAAACAATGTCCTAAGCAAATACCCCTAGAAAAGTCATGGTCACTGTTTGGTGGTCTAGCACCGGTGTGATTCATCACAGCTTCTTACCAAACGGAATGAGAATTACTGCAGATGTGTACTGTAATGAACTGATATCAATGATGGAGAAAATCGCACGCCTCCAACCAGCTTTGGTCAATCGCTCGTCCCTGCTGCCCCTGTACGATAACGCGCGACGTCATACTGCACAACAGACGGTCTCCAAATTACAAGAGCTTGGGTCGGAAGCTCTCCATCATCATCACGAGACCTTGCGCCTATAGCTTTCTACTTTTTCCAGAATTTGGATAAAATTTTGGCGGGAAATAATTCAACATCCGAGAGGCATTACAAAATGCCTTTGAAGAATTTGTTGCCTCCCGTCCACCTGATTGCTTCAAGAAGAGCATTAATAAACTGCCACTGTGTTGTAAAAGATGCATCGATTGCATGGATGTTCACTTTGATAGAAAATGAAATGAAATGAAATGAAATGAAATGAAATGAAATTTATTATTAACATACATTACATTAAATAAAATGTAGAAAAAAAATACGTTGACATATTTCATAAAAAAACGGCAATTTCATAGATAAAGACCTAACTAACCTACCTACCTAAGACTTAACCTAAGAAAACCTATGATAAAGACCTAATATTTCCTAATTATTTATTTAATGATTACTTAGCCTTAATTAATTAGAAAAAGACAGATGAGTGTTGAGTTCCTGCAATCTATAATTTAAACAAATTCAGTATAATCTGGGCATCTATATCTAAAGTCAAATCATTCGTCTGAAATCTAGCTCATTCAAGAACGGATTATTAGTCCCATAAAATAAATATCCGCTTAAAGCCGGTTTTTTAGTTTTAACAAAAGAGGTTCTTAAATTAAAACTTTTGCTATTACTTTTAAATTTTTAAAAGATTAAGATAAAATATGTTTACAACGTATTATATACCGAAAATGTTATACTGCATTCAGTACATGCCGCGCTCTCCAATCTAACAGTGCTATTATGGTAATATTTCACACGCTATTGTCCCGTTATCGACGTGCCAAACTTTAAATAAATGGGTAACACTTATTCAACACATTCACGTGCCGATATTGTGTACACAGTTATTTATTTATTTATTATTTACTGCACCTTGCACACAGTATCGGATTATAGGATCCAACACATCTTATAGCTTAAACCATTTTCTGCCAAAAAAGTTTTTGGGCAGTAATTGAAAACTATTGAAAAAACCTAACCATTTAAATAACGCTCTTTTTGCGCTTTTGTTTAAAAAAAAAACGTTACAATTTAAATAATAAAAAAGTATGATTTTAAAAGAAGATGAATTTGTTATTTTAATCGCGTTAGTAAAAGTAAAGTAAAGTTACAGCCTATATACGTCCCACTGCTGGGCACAGGCCTCCTCTCATTTCTGAGAGGGTTTTAGGGCAAGGAATAGTCCGCCGCGCTGCCCCAATGCGTGTTGGCGAACTTCACATGTCTTCGAAATATTTTTTTTTATTTTATTTCTCAGACATGCAGGTTTCCTCACGATGTTTTCCTTCACCGCCGAGCACGTGGTAAATCAGCACTTAAAATTGCAATTAACAATTTCATTGGTGCCGGCGGGGATCGAACCCATTTGCTCGCGTATTGTGAAATTTACAGCGAGCGCTAACCATCTGAGCTACCACGGCTCATCGTAATCGCGTTAGATATAACATATTTTAAATCCGGATGTTAATATGATTTCCAATACCCAAAGAATATACTGTCGAATATTTTTTCTTTCCCTTAAAATAGGCAGAAATCGCACTTTTGGCTTTATCATCCGCTACTTTTCCCTCCAAAGGGCAGAGACTAAATCTGGACTACAGGATGTGTGCTGTTCCAAACTTACAAAGCCAATTTTTCTCAGGAGACATCGCAACATACGCCTTGCCATGATTATACCTCGATATAAGCCCAAAATTACCCGGCATTGCTTAATAAATTCACTACACTGGGTATAAACTCCAAACTGATTACCAGCTAATATTTCCATTTTCGGGTGCTTATGTATGTATAATGTTATCTCTAACAATTAAAGGTTTTTCATATCATAATATCAGTAACGCGCTAATGTTAATGATTTCTTGGTTGGTAGTATTCATTTATTTATTTATTTATTTATTTATTTATTTAACGTCACTGCATCAAGTCTTGTTCAGGCGCAGACTCAAAACGATAAACTCAAATTTCATCTTCAGTAGCATTCCAACTGAAAACTTCTTCCCTTTTCTCGCTACAATGGTTACTCACGACCACAGGGTAGGTTTCACTTCTTTTAGCGTAAACATGACATTTTGCACACATCCTTTTGATATGCACTATTATTTCAACAACAGTTTCTACACATTGTTTCATTATAAACAGTCACATGTTTTCTTTTTCACATTTTCCGCAGTGGTCCCCTTGATAGATTAACGTGTCCCGAGAACATCTGCAAGCGTAATTATGGATTTTCCACTGCAAAAATTTCAGTAGACCGAATACATACTTAAGATAATGACCTCTTAAAACAATAGTGTTTTATTTTTGTTTAAATCTGAGCGATAAGGCAGCTGTTTTAACTTAATTAGAAACTCACTCAGTCACAACACTCAATTGCCAACACGTGCACCACAATATACATAAAATCTAACGAAAATACGCTGCTTTATGAGTTTATGACTAATATTAAATAGGCAATATTATACCGCAAATTTTTTGAACATAAAGCATTTATATTTAAAATTTTCGCGGTACAAACGTATCTTCTCATACCTAATATTGGGTTATTAATTAATTGTAATAGTTCGAGTTCAATTTATCTGATTTTTTTTTTTATTGAAATAACAGATTCAAACTACTTAATCGGTTACATCTTACACCGTAAACTTCTATTATCAATATTATTTATTGTTTTAATACGAAAGAGAGATAACCGGCAAATAAAATAAAAAAAGTAAAAATGAGAACATTCCGACTAATGAACAAGCCTCACTCACCTAAAATGCACGTTAAGTACCAACACCGTCATCCACACACTTAATGACACCAATATCATTGTGAACAGCAAATACTTCCCTAACAACGGTATTGCCAGTGACGTGGGCGGTATAATCTCGGCCATCAACAGGAAGAACACTGTCAGTGATACCAGTATCGAGATGCTTAATGATATCTACGAAAAAGAAAAAGATGCATAAGGATTACCTGAAATGGACGTTTACAATGCATACAGTGACCCATACGCTGAGCGAGACGAGTATCATGGTGAATAGCAGATATTTCCCAAGCAAGGGGATCGCCAGGGACGTTGGCGGTATAATCTCCGCCAGACCAAGGAAGAACACAGTGAGGGACACCAGGATGGAGATGCAGAGCGAAATCTAAGGGAGAGAAGTCCTTTTTGAGTTACACGCTATTGATAATTCGCCAGTTGTCTTTCCACTGATCATAGAATGCGCACTCAAAATAGCGACTACTATCGCTAATTGAAATCAACGTTACATTATCATAGAGGAATCACTGGAAATTGTTTATTTATATGTGTTTTTATGATGAATACATTATTGAAGGATTTATTGCCTAATATAGAATATATAATCTTTGATGCAATTTAATAGTCGCTATTTTGACGTTTTGATTAATTAAATTTGGTAATTTAAAAGAAATTTCATTAGTTTATTGAAAATATTATAAACATCGAATTTTCATATTAATAAAGCCACAACAGACAAAGATTTTGTTCCATTCCCAGTACTCGAAGCTTTAACATAACTTTAAAAATTATGTTATAAATTTGAATTAAATTTAGGTGTTGCTATATTTGGGGCCAATTTTTTAATCATCTGATAAGTTATTCGTATGACAGAATACAACTTAATCAAATTATAAATTACATCAGTATGAATAAAACAGATCCCGTTTCATTTTTGTATTCAGTCAGAATATAATTTATTATATAGATAACTTCTATATTATGGTGATATTGAAAATGACGATTGATTTAGAATGTTGAGCAGATGATTAAAATATCAGCTCTTAATCAAATTTTACGAAAACGAGGAAACGACCGAAATCTAAAAATTGAGATCATCAGAAACTTTATTTAACAAGTGGAAAAAATCTTACTCTGTTGTAAATGCAATAATTTTGATGAAAACGAAGCAAATAAGTATAAATGTAAGAAAAAGTATAACCAAAGTAACGCATGCTTTTAAAACACGAAGCCAATTTTCATAACATAGAATAAATATCATAAGAAGAAAAAAAACATTTTTATATAGAAAAAAAAACTGACGATATTAAAACGCATCAACTTTTATAATTTAAATCAATTTTTATCTAAGCTTTTGACTCTATCTAATTTAACCTTGTATCTAGCCTTGTTAATAAAATTCATATCATAACACAGTGTCACAAGCGTTCCAAAATAACTTACCGCGGAAAACAAGCTGAACCCTAAATATAACACCTCTTTTAGCACAAAAATAAGCTTAACTCAGTATTCAAACTTCTTTTCTCAATAAGCTGATATGCCAATCATGTGGTCATTGAGATTTTCTTAGTATAATACTATCAGAGCAAAATAAGAAATAGTTGCAACTTTTGTGTCATTTAGGCGTTAATTTCTTCTAATTTTGTTTTATTAATTTAAACTAGGACTCCTTACTTTTTGAGTTGTATAAAAGGTAATTCACTATTCCGCTAAACTGCAGGTTTTGTTGCACTTCCCGTAACTTACAAGAAAATCAAAATTTCTATTGTGGGCAAAATATATTTAGATTTTCTTTGTACTTGGCTATTACGCCAATTACATTCCTGAAATAAATTTCACGATTTTTTGGATTTGTATAAATTATATACAGAAAGTATGGTGGCTTTAATCCAGATTTCTGTAATTAGTAATTATTTTTTATAATAAATGTATTTTATTATTAAAAAAATAGTATCAGTTCAATATGATATGTTTAATGGAAATAATGTTACAAAATTACTTTTCTTAATAGAATTAGATGTACATTTCCAATTTAAAATGAAATGAGAAATAGCATATTTTGTCTTTATTTACTCGTGCTAAGCGTTAAGTGTTTTATACGAATTGCTATGTGAATGAAATAATTGTTAATCTATACATAACACCTTTACATAATATAATGATAAAGTCAACATTTCTGTCGAAGAAACTCTAATCACTTGATTTATAGTATTTAAACTCGAAATTGTTTTTTTTAATGCTTAGAGTTAACTTTATTGGTTTAACACTTTTGTGTGGAAAGACAAAAGTTAATGATGGGCAAAATAATTTTGATGACACTACCACACTCACACAAACAGCCAATGAATCAAAAAAGACTGACAACTTTAGCGGACGAGACGGCAAATGGACAATGGGTTTTGAAATGGATCGGAGGATGGAAATGAGCATGCCCTTGGATAAAATATTTTTTAGAGACACTGATTTTTTTGATGTACTTAATAATTATAACATAGATGGTACCTTAACATTTCTCAATATACCAAAACCAGAAAAAATTAACTTTTTAGCAAGTACTCTAAGTCGTATTTGAAAAAAATCTGTATACCCACTTAATTTTTTTAAATTCGTAACTACTTCAAAAATGAATCTGACTGATTGCATTTCATAATTTTGTTTATATATATATAATAGTTATATATTATTTTTGATTCCTTGCTATATTAATATGTATAAATACTATTTCATCGTCTTTCTGGTAAATCCAAAACGCCATGACTTCATGAAATCATTTCATTTCTTGTTTTCTGTTTTAAATAAACGACATATGAAAACATGTTCCTAAAACATAAAGGATTCCCTAAAAAGAATAATTATAAAGCATTACATTTCCCAAACAAGCTTAAAACAATGTTGTACTTTTATTATTTCACTACTTTTATTAATAACGCAACTACAAAATATTTGAGATGATTGATTTTTGTTGCCTTTCTATTTATTTTATTCTATGAGCATAAAATTTCAGTGTCTCCGAATACGTGTAAATAGTCAATACGAATAATATCGTTAAATATGTAAGACTTGTTTTATAATTTGAAAGCAAGTTAATAAAGAGGACGTAGTTTAAAATAATATACCTTCAATAAACATGAGATTTACAACCCCCCCCCCCCCCCACCAACCAAAAAAAAAAAAAAAAAAAAAAAAAAAAAAAAAAAAAAAAAAAAAAAAAAAAAAAAAAAGAAAGACCCCAAAACCAAAAAAAAAAAAAAAAAAAAAACCAACCCCCCCAAAAAACCAAAAAAAAACCCCATTTTTTCTTTATTATAGGCAACTCATAACAAACAAATAAAAATCGAAAATTTCAATTAACACGTTGCCATAAATAAAAATAAGAAAGTTGAAAAATATGAGCCTTATCTCGTTGAATCAAGCGAAGCCATTTCTTATACTATAAGCAGCCACAAAAAGAAAAAAAATCAGTGTCCCTAACGTTATAAAATTCACAACACACAAAGTATGTACATTTAATCTCAAAAATGTTTTGTGTAATACATTTCATATACAATACTTACATCAAAGATAAACATTTTACCTTTTCGCCGGAGTCTGAAGGCAAGTAAAATACTAGAACAGTTAGGAACGTGAGACCAACACACGGAATAATTAAGTTCACTGTGTAGAATAGTGTCTTTCTGCGCATCGTTAATTTGAATGTAATATCTGTAACAAATACTTAAATATTACTAACAATCATACATGTTTTACATATTATAAACCAGTGCTTGAGCACAATCCCACCTGGTGGTGAGATGGTAAATCACACTGTCTTAGCGTAACAAAAGTATATTCACTCTTGCCTGAAGAAACCCATATTACAATCGAATAAAAAGACAGATGTTGGTAGATAATTCCACTTCTTTGCGGTGCGCATTATAAACGATGAAGTTAACCTTGTGGTTTGAGTGCGTGTGGTAAAACCACGTTGCAACTATAGGTATTATGGTTGTCGCATGAATGGGTTTGTGCGATCGGGGAAAAATCACGCTCACACAGAAAATCATCGTGAAATAACGGCTTAATACTGCCGTGTTTTTTGTATGGTGAGTGTAGAAAACCGGAGAGCATTTACAGTGGAAAAGAGTCGTTCCATCTTAGTCCTCAGGGGTGAGAACGCATCTACATTATGATTTTTAGTCGAGGATAGATGTAGATGCCACAGCATTCTATTTACCATCAGGTAAACTGTATGCTCATTTGCCACCCTTATTCTAAATTATGTATTTATTCTTAGAGGCGACAACGCATTGACCAAACTGTCGTTAGGACGACTCGTTTAGTATCAATATCGCGTTGATCATTTATGTGAATAAGATGGAGCAGGTCTGCCTGCATGACTTGGTGCGTTAATACATACAGCCATTGAACCACGTAGCACGATTATAAACTAAGCGATAATTATGATGAAGTATTAAAAAAAATGATACTATGCACAGTAGCTATACGCACAGTTCGGTGTTGTGTTTAGCGGATATAGCCACTCAAAGGCGTATTAACTTGCTTATAAAAAATAAAAATCATCGGGTTTATTATAAAATGTAATTATTATTCTGATATTGACGTGGTAGAGCCACGTTGCAGCTATATTATGGTTGTAGCATGAATGGGTCGGCTCGACCGGGGAAGGACCACGCTCTCACAGAACACCAGCGTGAAATAGCGGCTCAATGCTACTGTGTTTCGTATGTGTAGAGAACCGAAGGAATCCTATTTCCATCTTAGTCCTCAGCGGTGAAAACGCATCTTGAATCTTAATCGAGAATAAATGTAGATGTCTATGGGCCACATCCTTCACTTACCATCACCCTTATTCCACAAAAAAATAAATATATCCCAACTTACAACTCGTCAACGCATTCAATCAGAAAATGTTAACCAAACCAACAACGAAACTCCATGCGATAAATGTAAGAAAGGAGTCCAGGGAACCCAACAACTATGGACAAAAACCTTTACCTGCTGCACTTCTTTTTTTTATAGAAGAGGGGGCAAACGAGCATGCGGCTCACCTGATGTTAAGTGACTACCGCCGCCCATGATCAACCGCAACACCAGGGGAATTGCAGGTGGTCCCCAGGTCAAATCGATCCGGAAAAATCGCCGGTGGTAAACTATTCCACAGAGAGGTCGTACGCGGGTTGTACGCGGAAGTAAACTCCTTGTGAAACGTACAGTGATCGACCGCCAGGCATCCAGATGGTGTGGAGGGTATCGGGACGTTTGCCGCATAGTGCGTTCACGAAATTTGGCGGCTGGGATTAATCCGAACAATTCCTCAGAGCACTCCCCATGGTATATGCGAAAGAAAATGCAAAGAGATGCAACATCTCTTCACAGCGCCAGTGAATCCTATGAGCAATCAGTGGTCGACAATTCGAGCCGCTCTGCGCTGGATGCGGGCAAGTGGAAGGAGCTGGTACTGGGGAGCTCCAGCCCAGAGATGGGAACAGTATTCAGCAGCCGAACCTGCGCCTTGTAAAAGAAAGTATTTCTGCAGGCGGTGTGCCGGCATGAAATACTGTCCCGCTCTGCCGAGCACGCAGCTTTTTAGAGGCCAATTTGGCCTTTTCTTCCAAGTGACCACGAAACTGCACGTCACTCGATATGTCGACGCCGAGGATTCCGATACTGGCTGACGCAACAAAAACTGAGGAGATACGACAAAGGGGTTTTTTTTGCGGTTAACGCGCAAACTTGTGTCTTCTGAGGGTTAAACTGGATTTAGTCGCCCCCAATCCGAGACTCTGTTCAGCAAAGACTCGACTTCAGACACAAGTTTGTCTCGGTACTCGGAGACCTTTTCCCGAGAAATACTGGCACGGCCGTTGTACAGAGCATCACCAGTAAACATATCATTGATATGCAGAAGAAACAGCGTTGGCTATAGCACGCAGCCTTGTGGAACACCAGCATTAATAGGCTTGTAATCGGAGCTTGCACCGTCTACAACGACCTTGATGCCCCGATCTGCAAGAAAGCTGGTGATCCAATTGCACAATTTCTCGGGAAGCCCATAGGAAGGGAGCTTCGAAAGAAACGCTTTGTGCCAAACCGATCGAAAGCCTTCGCAATGTCCAAACTAACGGCCAGTGCCTCCCCCTTGGACTCTACTGCCTCCGTCCATCTATGAGTTAGGTAGACCAGAAGATCACCAGCTGATCGACCACGGCGAAAACCGTATTGGCGATCACTAATCAACTGGTGATCCTCAAGATACCTCATGAGCTTACAATGGACTCCATTGTTTTGCAAAACAAGGAGGTGATGGCGATAGGCCGGTAGCTGGACGAGTCTGAGCGGTCGCCTTTTTTAGGGATCGGGTGGACGAAAGTTGTCTTCCATGATTTTGGGACTACGCATAGGGAGTAGGAGTACCGGAAAAGACGCGTTAAAACCGGTGCCAACTCAGGAGCACACGTCCTCAGCACAATTGGGGGGATTCCGTCAGGCCCACTCGACTTGTGGATGTCCAGGGAGAGAGGAGTGCTTTACGAACCGAGCGCTGTGTGAACTACATTTCCGGCATGGAACACTTACACCGGGAGTACCCCCCGTCATCGAGAGTGGAGTTGGACGCAAAGAAAGAACCTAGCAGATCGGCTTTCTGCTTTGCGGTACGGGCCAGTGAGTCGTCTTCCCTGTGCAGAGATGGAAGAGATGGTTGACAGAAATTCCCCTGGACAGCCTTGGCGAGAGACCAGAATGCACGGGTTCCAGAAGGAAGGCGAATTAGTCTCTCTCCAATTCTGCATATGTGCTCTGACTTTGCCTTGGCAATGACTGTTTTGAAGGACCTGGAGGCGGAATTATACTTTGTTTTACATCACGAACGTTGATGCGTCAGCCCAGGCTTGGTAGCACTCCTGCTTATAGCATGATGCTATTTTACAGGAGCGACCAAACCATGGCTGAGATTTGCCTCCGATGGCACCACAGAGGAAGGAATAAAAAGTTCCATACCCTGAAGTACCACATCAGCGACAGAATCCGCAACAACGTTGGGATCGTCCGGCGAGAAACAAACCCGCCCCAAGGGTAGGATGCAAAGAAAGACCGCATCCTATCCCAATCGGCTGACCTATAGTGCCAAACACGGCAGCAGCCTGCAGAATGTAACTGCGATTTCAGCGTGAGTGGCACCACACTCCGGACAAGACAATGGTCCGAGGAGCCTAAAGGGGCGTCGACGGAAATCTGATATCCGTCCGGGTGAGAGGTCAGCAGAAGGTCCAACAGGGAAGGTGCATGATCCTCCACATCTGGAATCCGCGTAGGCGAAGTAACCAGTTGCGTCAGACCATATGCCAAGGCAAAATCATGAACAGATCTCCCCGCATGATCGGTTAAACGTGAACCAAGCCATTCGGCGTGATGGGCGTTAAAGTCGCCGAGGATCACGATCTCTGCGGAGGGGATCTGCTGTAGCAACGAATCTGTAGCCATTTGGACGTGGTCGAAGAGTCGGTCTGTTTCGGCATTACCCCTATGGGACCTATAGAGGCACCCGTAGACGCGCGGATGGTCGTCGCTGTCTACACGTAGCTAAAGGATGGACAGGTCCGAACCTTCAAGACTGCCGAGGTGTCGAGAACAGATGTCTTCTCTGACGTAAACGCAAACTCCAGCCCGAGGCACAAATGAGTGTTCCAGTTTGTACCCCGGGTAGGAGAGATACGAGACATCAGCCGGAGAAGACACCTGCGTCTCGGTCAGAAAGAGCAGAGCCGGCCTCGCCGTCTCGAGATGGTAGTGGACGGCGTTTAGGTTAGAGTGAAGTTCCCTTGATATTCCAGAAATTCACGGATAGCGTGGCAGGGGTCGCCTTGGTGTTGTTGCTCCGTTTGCCCCGAGCAGTTGTAGTCTTAAGCGGAATTTTGCCCCCCCCCCCCCCGAATATGCGGGGCAGCCTAAGCACCCACGCTCAGGAGTGGAGAAACATGGTTGTGGATGCTCAGCGAGGTATTCTCCAGGGGTGCTGGTACCCTCCTGGGGTAGTCTATCATTCCAGAGAGAAGAGCTTCCACTTCACGCCGGTATTCTGTGAGGTCGTGGTACCACCCCGGTTTGAGCCGGCCCATACGTGCAACAGCAAAGCTGCGCCGCGTGGCTCTACCACTGTTGATATATAATACTCATATATATTTTGGATTTTGTTAGAATTTAATTACGTCGGTTTTTTTTTATATTCAGATTGTATTTTTTATAGGATAAGGGTCCTCCTGTGTTATTTGAGTCTAGTATCATACATAAAGTTGGGTCTGGTATTAAGAATGAACATCAAGGTCAGCGAAGGATAAGTCAATGCCAACATGGGAGTAGTTCGAGGTTTTCAGTGTGAAAGGTTAAGAAGATAATTGGAAGATGGAGAGCTGTACAACAAAATGCTTTTCCAATTAGATGACCACTGTATCGGCAAGTTACCATGATGAAAATGGTTGGGTAGGCATAACACCAATGAGTGTATATTTAAGGCAACAAAGGTACCAGCGAAATAGAAAGAGTAATAATTCCACTCATATTAGGTAGAATCCTTACAGTGCATAAATTGCAAGGCAGTCGATAAGGTTCATACATCCTAAAACCAAAACATTTGCAACGCATCTGCATTTTGAATTTTGATCGAGGATAAATGTGGATTTATGGGCCGCAGTATACACTTATCATCAGGTGGACTGTGTGCTCGTTTGGCGTGTGCCTTATCCTATAAAAAAAATACAATCTGAATGAAAAATAAAAACAATATTGAAATTGAATTCTAACAAAATCCAAAATATGTGTGAGTATTATATCAATCAGATACCACAACAATTATGATACAACAACAACAATAACAACAACAAAACAACAATAATGTGGGACACATGAAAGGTTTAAATAATTTACACGAGCTCGCTTAAAATATTTATATATAATATTTAATGCCCGAACCCTATTAACCTTAAACTCATCACTTACCAGAGAAAGGCTCAGGGCAGCATGGATAGTATTCCTCGTTCCGAGTAGCCGGCACCTCTAGAATATCCCACTCAACTGACAGGTAAAATTCGCTAAGATCAATGCCAACATGCACTAGGCTGCTGCCGGGAGATTGGTTCATATGTTTTAGATCCACCTGGTGTACATAATACAATTTTAATCATTATCGTCGACAGAACCTATGATGATCCAACTGGATATGAGCTTCTTTTCACATAACAGAAATTTTTAAGGTCGCTAGTCATCGTAGTCCGGTTGATTGAAATCGCAGCTCTTGATCTATATTTTAGCTCTAATAATTCAAACGTTGGTCGGTTACATAATTTTTGGATTCTTAGTCGACATTGACGACACCAACCGAACATGGCTAAATTCTCTCTACGATGCGTAGTATCCTCTTAGTAGTCTGTGTCTCTATGTCTATAGATGTCCCGTTCTCAAAGTTAACATGGAATACCTTCAAGCATTTAATTATTAACCGTGAAGTCTTGCAGTGGTATGTTTGGGTTTAGTTTCAATTTTATTAATTACAAGATCCCAAGCAGATACTACCACCCAGTCTCCTTCTCTATTGAAATTAGGATTTTTTTATTTCAATAGCCTCATGTAGTCATCTTCGGTAGAAATCGATGTTCTTTCGTGAGGATTTGTGATCCATCAAATCTGATTTAATGATGGAGGCCATCTAGGCTAATATGATCACAGACTAAGCGAACCGTTATTGTTTTTCGTCATATATGTATATGGCTATATGTGCTTTTACGTAAGTTTTATAGATATTTTTGATAAATATATACAAAATATTACAAAAGTACTGTGGTTTCCGTTAAGTACATTATCAGAATCAGTATTAAAACGTAATATATAAATTAAATAAAAATTTATATTTGTTCGTATTTTATGAGCTGCCATACCGTTCATCAGATTGCGGTAAAACTATTTCAACTTATTGCTTGCACTTGTGTGAATAGCGTTGCTAGACGTCCAGATACAGCCAGACACAGTCATGCTTTTTAGTAGTGTGGCCGGCCAAATTAGACGGTGTCCGGCTTTTGTTAGGCTTTTTAAATTTGACCATTTCTTTACATTTTTCATATACTTATATACATACTATTGCAATTATTAAAATTAATATAGTAATGAATATTAAATAATTAATAATAAAAAAGACTGATTTATTCAATTGTTGTTATTTCGTTAGAACATAAGAAAATTTTACGGTAAATGATAAAAAGCATTGTTGTACTTCAAAAAGATGTCTTTTACTAAGACAAAAAATAAGGGTGTCCGGCCTTTTTACTAAAATGTCCGGCTAAGCTCGCTAGTCTGTCCGGCTTTTCGGTTTTAAGACCTGGCATCCTAGGTGCGAAGGTTATAGGCATAGTACAATTAACTTACAGTAGGTGTTGCGGGTATTGTACTGACAAATTTATTTGAAAGCCATATACCATTCAACTTCAATGAAAGTAATAACATTAATTAATTAAACAATATAACCCTTCCTTCCCTTATATTTAAAACAATATTTTCAAAATTATTTTTTCTGTGGCAGTAACGCGCCGGATACTTGCTATTATGGAATAAAATTTAAATAAAATTTTATTCGCAAATTGTATTTTTTTTCTGTACATCCAATAAAGCCTATACAAGTTCACTGCTGCACATAGGCCTCCACCATAAATTGTCTCATAGGGGGGACTATTGCATATTTCCCATGCTTGGCTGCATTATTTTTTTTATTTTGAGATTTTATCAGAAAAGTGCTGTGGCCCATCTCCTGGTTTGTTTACCTCTATCGCTCCCTACAATAGCCATGGGACGATATGGATCAGTGCATTATTATACCAGTAAAATTTATTTAAACTTTAATTAATTTTTTATGGTCAAGTTTTCTGAAGTTGGTTAGAAGTCTGTTATATCTATATGTTTGTATACTGATTCAGATAACGCACTTAACTAAACTAAATAATTGATAATAGACGTATTTGTCTAAGGAATAATGAGGATTATTCTCTTATCATCTGATGGACTGTGTGCTCGTTCGTCACCCTTATCTTTATTCAAAAAATCCAGCAGTTGACATATAAGACTGTTGATGCATTGTATGTAAAGAGAGGTTATTACTACTTCATACAGATAAAGAATATGTTACCTGAGCTCCATTGTAAGTCCAAGATCCGAACTTCATGAAGCAAGTCTGCTCGTCAAACGGGAAATATTCCACGTTGATCTCGCATGATGACTTGTAGATCGCCGGCGGCTTCCAGTTTACTTCACCCGTGAATTTCAGGGTTGCCTTTGTCATTAACGTTACCTGAAACGGTACCCCAATTTTTTTATTCTATTTCCGAAAATTAAATAGCTCAATTTACGGGGTGATTTTTTTTACCGTCTCGAAAAAAATATAGTGGAACAGATGAACGGAAAAAATAAAGGAAAGAAAGCCTATGGAACTGATATTTTACATTTTTTATTCTATCAGTAAATACTACTAGTAGTGGCTATGACATTCCATCTCGGGCGACTGTAAACAAATAAAGCTACTGGTGCGTTGTCGCCTCTGAGGATTATGATGTACCTCTCAGGCTGTCTTCTTCTTCATCTTCATGACTCTCTATTTTCTTATATAGAAGAGGGGGCAAAGGAGCATGCGGCTCACCTGAGAGTTGCAGGTGCATTGCCGGCCTTTTTGAAAGGAGTAAGCTCTTTTCTTGAAGGTCCCTACGTTGTATCGGTCTGTAAAAATTGCTAGTACTGTCTGTACTGTCTGTGTATCTGTACTAGTCTGTAACAATTCCACAGAGAAGTTGTACGAGGAAGAAAACTAGTAAAATGCACAGCGGTGAACCGCCAAGCATCCAGATGGTGAGAATAGTAACGTAAATTTTGACGCGATATGCTTTCATGAAATTTGGCAGCTGGTATTGATCCGAACAGTTGAACTTTCATTGATTGAACCCTTCAGACCAGAATACAGCTTTGCAAGCGCTGCAATTTGACGGCAGAAATAGGTATCCTACCTAGATAGACTCCTGGGTAGAAAAGAAGTCCTACCACCCAGTTAACTATACTTAAACTAAACTACCTAAAAAGAAAAAACTTGGTTTTTGAAATACACCTTCTAATTTCTTTCATTTCTATTCTATGCACTTCAGTTTTTACAAATGACTTCTAAAATAGGAGGAGGGTCTCAATATGACTGTATCTTTTATGTGTGTTACCTCAGAACTTTTTTCTAAATGAACCGATTTTGAAGATTCTTTTTTTTTTTGAAAACTGGTGCTTCTCATGTGAATTTGATCAAGTTCTGACTGGTAGTTTTTGAGTTATCCTTAATAATGCATATTTAATTAACATCGACTACATTGATGATGTTCTCATTTTATTTATATTGAAGTCGGTTGTTCAAAATTATTAATTTTACCACTTGTGTACAATCTGACAAACATTAAATATGTGATCTACATCATTGAATTATTGTTCATTTATATTGATTTTTAGTCAAACAATATACATATATTTTAACAAAAAAAAAATCTTGCCTCATAATTTCCATCCCAATTGTTGTACAGTACGATGTCAGGAAGCCAAATATGTTCTGACGGGACATACAACATTTCCACACCACCATATTCTTCTGGATTCCATTGAAGCTTATAATCGAACCATTTCTGAAAAATTGAAACGAAAAATCTAGATTAATATTCCGGTCTAAATACAAAGTTTTACATTTTCATTATTTTTATCGACATCAAACTTCATCGTAATTCATTATAGAGTTATTTTGTAATAACCGGTAAAAGGAGATGGCCAAAAATTGTATGAACCTGTGCCCCAGACAGTACAGAGATGAAATCTATGTCATTTGGAAGTACAGATCTTCTATATAAAGAATTGGAAAAGTGCATGTAGCTATACAGTAGAGGACAAAAGTTATGAAGATTTAAAAAAAAAAGTTGATTTTGGCAGTCGATTTTTATCATTATTACACAATGTAGATTTTAATAAAGTTTCAATTCATGAGTTTTATTTAGGTTAATGTATACTATTTACAAACAGACTACGATGATTAGGATGTATCCTAACTGGTTTAACGCTAAAAAAAAACAAGGACAGCAGTTTTTTTCAGTCTTTGAAATTATTATTTGTAACTAATTTTTGTAACATAACTATTATTGATCGAAGTATATTAGACAGAAAATAATTAAACTTACGTATTACACCGTTTATAATTAGTGGAACCCTCGCGTGGGGCTACGGCACTTATTAAATAAAAGTAAAATACGATAAAACACAAATACGAAGGAAAAGCGTATATATGGGTATGTTCCGAAATACAACTCAGTACACTGGCAAATGCAAATGACGTCATCAAGTGACACTATATTGTACTGGCGTGCCGCTGCCATATTGATTCGGATATTCGGCCACAATAAAACAATTTTTAATTGTGTGTGCGCTGAATGAAGCATGCCAGAATTTTGTTTTTATTTATTCAAATACAAAAAATTATAAAATAATTGCTGGTATCTTCATTAGGAAGATATAATGATTTTTGAGCACAAAATTACAAAATAATCGCCAACACTTTCCAATATGGCGTAAACGTATGACGTCATATACTGTCCTATGTTTTGGAACGAATCACCAGTATAGCGTCGATTCATGACGTCATTCGCATTCGACAGTGTACTGTGTTGTATTTCGGAACATACCCTATATATTTCATACACCGAAAAACTACCGTGAAACCTTACAACTATGCCCTAGGGGGACATCTTTGCCCAAACACGAAAATTAACTAAAACTACCAATAGACATTTTATTTTAACAAATGTCAACTTTGTACGGGTTGCCGTTCTACAAATTTTAAACTCCCTAGACTAACAGAAAAAATCCGCCGGAAACAGGATTTTTCTTTTTCTTAAAAACCGCTAGATGTCCCTAGGTACATTTTCGTGCTACCATTGGGCTAACTGAAAAATCTTGCCAAATGGTATACAATGAATACCGAAAATCTAAATCTATAAATTCAGAAAAACCTTAAAAAGAGCGGACTCTATTTCATATAAATCAGTTATTTATAGTGCATTTTAATGACATGACAACCAAAACAAAAATTATTCATGTACAAAATAATACAATATTGTAAAAAAATAAATCTTTAATCTTTAAGCCACGTTTAAATAGCAGTCATGTTATTAACAATAAAACAATTATCTCGGTACGTTCTTGTACCTAAATTTCTTATTAATTGAATATAAATATAAATAATAGAAACGAAATGAATTATTTTGTAAAAAAAATCGCAATCTCAAATGTCCAAATGTCGCTAGAAGTCGCTAAATAATTATTTCTCGCTAAAACGTTTTTTTATCCGCTAAACATTGTTAAAATCCGCTAGATCTAGTGAGAAAGTCGCTAAAACGGCAACACTTCTCTACATCTACACTCCATACTAGAAACGGCGCGGCGCGTAAGTCGGTGAACGTGAAAAAGATCATGTCTGACATTGACAATGACTTTCGGATTATTCAAATTACTCTGGTCCGTAGGCAGAGAATCCTACTCTGGTCCTATTATTTATTCTGTGCTGTGGTACTCTGTGACACTGACTGTTTTGATGCTTGACGGACGGATTCAGTGTTGCAAGTACTAAAGTAAAATAACACTATCCTATAATGTATCGCTACATGTTTAATCTGTTGCTGTATCCTTTAGTGTAAATTGATTATTTTGATGTATTAATTCATTAATTAAAGGCTACAGGCCACATTAAAGGTGGTATAGAGTAACTTCAAAGAGAAGAAATCGCTTTAAATACTATTAAACTTGATAATTTTTCAACAGCTGCTCTGAAATGTTAAGAGTTATGCAAAATTCTTTTTTTATTTTTTTTAATTAATAGCAATCGTCTTATTTTTGTACAGTTTAGAAACTTTTTGGCCATCTCATTTGCAGACAAGGCTCAAAATTAGTAATATAGACAAAAGGTGAAGAAAAATTAAAATACAAAAATATCCCAAAAATTATGTCCTTTCTATCTTTCAAATTCAAAATGCGTGGTAATGAAATATTTTAACTGATTTTACTGTGTGTTGTACATTCTCAAGCGTCGATCGGTAGGTAAAAACGTTGTTGCCCATAAATCACATTCAATTTGGGACAATTTCAAATAAAAGTAGAAGCTTTATTTACTCGTATTTTCAAAAACTGCAATAACGATTTATCATTATTTATATATCTGAACTTAAGTTTAGAATTTGGCTACTCTGAAAAATAACTCCGTATATTATTATATACGTATAGATTCACGTCGAATAAGGTGATTAAAAGCGCAGGTATAAGTCTTCTTATAAGTTGTCATAAAATTTCAAACTACTCAAGAAACAAACTTTTTATATTTAGTGTTAAGTGTGTTATTAAAAAACGATATTACAGCAATCAAGCAAACATCCATCGTTTTTTGTATTTTTTTCTCGGTTAGTTTATACAGTAAAGTTCAAAAATTAGTTTGAAGTCGGTAGCAGTAAGATAGCTAAAGTCAAAATTGAACCTTTTATATCTTTGTCCAAATGTTGGCGCACGTTCAGTGTCGAAACGACTGCGAAATGGTCACCATTAGATCACGTGGTGTTTGATTCATCTTTTAGAATAATAGATATTTACGAAAAATTACCTGTTCGACCCACAAGTTGGTCGTCATGACTTGATTCTTCAAATTAACCTCCATCAGCTGCGACAGCTTCAGACCCAATCGCACTGTTAGGATGTCGCTCACATTGGTGACGGGGCGGATCAACCGATTGTAATTGCTCAATAGGTCGTCGTAAAGACGTTTTACATCTGGATTTGCTTCTAGCAACTTTACGCCTAAAATAGAACATTATAGAATATTTTATTCAATATAGATTACTACAAAATACTTGAAAGTTACAAATGTTCCTACCACTGGTCTAGATATGTAGTTACGAGTCATCTCAATATTAGTAAAAAGTTGATCGTTCCCTAGGTGTTAGGGTCCTTTACATCGTATTCGCTGGGTTGGTACCTTCTTGTTTAGCATAAGTTTATATTATACATATGATTCGCAGGTGTAATTAAAAATGATGGAAGATAGAATCCATAGATCAACGAGCCACGTTGACCACGTTTAACCAAAAAATATGGGCATAGATGGAAACTCAATATTTCATTAGTTGGCTTTTACGACATGCTAAGCATAGTGACACATTCTTTTTTGTTATTAAACCTACATAAAAACAAAGAAGAAAATAAAATAGAAAAACAAAGTTCCAGACATTCATGGAACTTTTGTTAATCCTGTGGCGGCGCTGTCGTCGCGCCACAAGCGAAAACACACCGAAGCCTAAATCGCGCTATCAACATTCCGAATCATAAACAGTGTATATACAGAACTTCTCCGAACTATCATACGGAGTGTTGGCCGCTCCCCGGGCAGAACACCTTGCCCGGCGGGAGATCTCTCCTTTTCCTTCCACGGCCACAGTGGTGACCATCCGACGTGATCTGAACAAGCAACCGACAACCTTTGGAAACTACAAGCTTTTTTCATCATCGTCACAGAATACCCCACCCATTCGCTCCCGAGCAGATATCGTCTGCAGTCTTCATATACTGCAAGCCATCTAGCTTCACAAGGTTCATCGCAGCACTAGAATAATAATGCTTCCTGTTCCTTGAAGCTACTCTCTGCGCTATACAGTGTTCGGCACGGCTCTGAGCCTTACTGCTCGCCTCTGCTTCACGGCACTCTCGCAGATTACTTGCCTTCTTCTCGACTCACCGCAGACTTACAAGGCAAATCTCGTGGCACTTGCACATTCGTCGACAATGAGACTGTACTATCGACCTCCGGTCTGAGCAGGGGGGTGATGTGGCGGCGCTGTCGCGCCACAAGCGAAAACACACCGAAGCCTAAATCGCACTATCAACATTCCGAATCATAAACAGTGTATATATAGAACTTCTCCGAACTATCATACGGAGTGTTGGCCGCTCCCCGGGCAGAACACCTTGCCCGGTGGGAGATCTCCCCTCTTCCTTCTACGGCCACAATCCTTTTACAGATTTCTATTTTTAATAGCTGTGGTGCTGGTTACACTGCCCTGTTCCGACTTTTTTTATAGGATAGGTTGACAAACATGTACACAGTCCACCCGATGGCAAGTGGCCGCTGTGGCCTATAGACATCTACTTCCATCCTCGATTACGAATCAAAATGCAGATGCGCTGTCACCCGTGAGGACTAAGATGGAATACCTCGATTTGACGTGTTGTGTTGTGACGGCCAGTTTAATCACAGGCTGTGAGTTAAGTATTCCATCTTTACACTCAGGTGTGTCATCACATTATTAGCCATCTTTTTATTGGTTGTAGATGTTTAAGTGATGCAATAGTTACTTATCATAAAATGAACTGTTGTGTCGCTTACTTAAAGACTTTTTACTTTTTAATCGTTAGTGCGTCTGTTAGTGATCGAGTAACTTCTGAACAACTTTACTAAAAGGAAATTCATTAGTCACACAATATATTATATAAGCTAATACCCGCTCGCTTCACTGGACGCACGATAATATGTTATTACGTAACCTAGATGTAAAATATCAAGAATTATTTTTTGATGGGACCATCGTAAACTCTGTTCTTAATGAGCGTCTGCATTACGAAGTGAGTGACCATACTAAATTTCAAGTCAACTGGGTTTTAGTTTTAGAGATCTCTTGAAGTGTCAGTCAGTCAGTGGTAATTCGCTTGTATAGATTTTGAATAAAACTAAATTTACGGATTTTATCGCGTTTATTTCACTACTTTTACTTATTTTTAATTCCCGACGTTTCGGGTGCTTTACAGCAACCATGGTCACGGGGGGGACTGAGATGTTTGACGTCCCAATGTCATAGTTAGTCCGGCTACCATCAGTTTTTGAAAAAAGTAGTGAAATAAACGCGATAAAATCCGTAAATTTAGTTTTAATTCAATGTGTAGTCAGTTCGCGTAAATTTAAGAAATCATTTGTATAGATTTGTTTTGTCAAGGCAACAGTTCACAGCTGTGTCGTGGTCCAATAGATGGCGCTGTAGTCAAGTGTTGTCAACAACAAATTCTACATATTATATTGATTAAGGTGACTTACGTTCAAGATATATGTTGGTCAAGTGCCATAAAGGAAAATTATAAAATGTATATGCTGTGCGCTATGGTAGACACTTGCATTCGGGATCAATGTTTGACCGACCAGCTAGTATCACATAATATGAAAAAAAAACATTTCTAAAAGCGTCAAACAGATCACTAACAGCGCTAATATATATATATATATATATATATATATATATATATATATATATATATATATATACATATCTACTGCAACATAATGTCATTACTGATTTAACCCCTTGTATAAGAATGGATAATAGTAATAAATTAAAAGAGCTTCAGAAAGTATATAAATAATCATATTTTAGATATTCTCGTACGAGATTTTAATACAATTTAAAGGAATAAAGTAAATGCAAATATAAAACGAATAGGTTTCCTTAAAAATAAGCTAAATATTTTTGAGTGAGTTTGATCTAATAATGACTTGTTACATATATTTACCAAACTAAGAACGAGTCAATTCTTTCAACTCACCAAAAGAGTTCCTGATGAAAACCAAGATTAACCAAAAAACTCCCAAATTCATTGTGATTAGATAATGAAAACACCCTTTCTATCAACTTGTTTACTAATTTCCATTTCAGATGCTGTAACCCACCTCACCAAGCTGATATCGTTGCGCATGCGGAATCAATACGTTTACAAAAATATCGACAATAGCGCTCTCGTTTGCAGCGGCGAAGAAAGGAACTTAATACTTCTTATATCCCTCAATAGATAGCGCTAAAGAATTGTCCTTTATAATATATTATTATACCGGCGTATAATGAGTTTGTGGAATTGTCATGTGATAATTTTTACACAATTTTTTTTACTATACAATAGAATAAACAATGATGACTGTGCCTTATAATAATCGCTTAAATAAAAATATTATGCACCACCTGATATTACCAATTTCTGCTAATAATTTTTATTATTTTAAGCCATTTAGAGCGGCCTATACTAGATGAATATAAGAGCTTTCCACATATTTAGATCGATACAGGTGGCTCAGGACTTGTAAGGGGCTTATCACATCATCATCATTACATCCTAATTATTAACTTAAAGACCTATAACAGGAAGCAACTAAGATCTAGAACTAAAACTGCCAATCCACATTCCAAGTCTGGAAATTTTAATATAGAATTAGTGTTGAGAGGTGTCCCCTGTTGCGCAGGCATTAACCCTTGATCGGGAAGCCAAATGTCCCGATTTTTCAGTAACCTCCTTAGTATGTACTTTGATCCATAATTTTGACAGTAACAATGAATACATCTGTTAGCAGCTACTACATTTTCATAATTTTGCTTTGACATTTTCATATTTTCTCACCAGTCGGACTAAATCAGTCAACATCTTAAATCATGTTTTAAATTTCACGCGTATTATTCGCGAGATCAGATATCATTCATGCTATGTCTTTATTTTCTTACCACCTGCTGCCGATTGCCCTGTTGCGTTATCATCAGCCTGCGGCAGGCAACTCCTTGACATGGGCCTCTCCCATGGCGCTCTTCTTAGCCCGATCTTCGTCAATTTGACGATCATTTATTATTTTATTTTTTTTACAAGTAAGCAGTAGTACTGAGGTACCATTTAGATGCTGCGGCTTAATTAGGTAAATTTGAAATTGACTAGCAGTAGAACTTCGACCACTAGTCAATTTCTTCAAGTGGTTGAAATGTTGTTTTTATTTTTTTATTTTTTTATAGGATAGCGTGACAGTCGAGCACACGATGAGCAGTCGAGAAGCGATGGTAAGTGGTTGCTACGGCCCATAGACATCTACATCTATCCTCGAGTACAAATCAAAATGCAGATGCGTTGTCACCCGTGAGGACTAAGATGGAATGCCTCGTTTCCAGCAAAAAGGGTGTCCGGTTCTCTACACTCACCATACGAAACACAGCAGCATTAAGGCTCCTACAATGATCAGTAACATCGACGATTTAGACTTTGTTTAAATTTAGCGACATCTACCAAAAGCAGACGTACTGCAATGGCACTACGTAAATAGTAGACAAAGATTAACGATGTATAGATAATATGACAACTTATTTGCATAATTTTTTTCGATCTCTGAGAGACCTAGTGGTGAATTGACGTATTATTCACTTTAAACCTTGTATCTGTATTCACTCCCATGTTCAGCACGGACGTTCCTACGTGACAATTTGTGAAGGTATGTGGATGACCAGGTAAGTACCAAGTGGTTTTTAGCAATGGGAATGGTTAGGAATATTTAGTTTTCAGAAACTCTCATAATCGGCATGGATGCTGCTACGTGACACTTTGTGAAGGTATGTGGATGACCAGGTAAGTACTAAGTGGTTCTCAGCAATGGAAATGGTTAGGAAGATTTAGTTTTCAGAAATTTTCATATTCAGCCAAGACGCTGATACATAATACTTTGTGAAGGTTTGTGGATGACCAGGTAAGTAGCAAGTGGTTCTCAGCAATGGAAATTGTTAGGAATATTTAGTTTTCGGAAACTCTCATATTCAGCACGGACGCTGCTACGTGACACTTTGTGAAGGTATGTGGATGACCAGGTAAGTACTAAGTGGTTCTTAGCAATGGAAATGGTTAGGAAGATTTAGTTTTCAGTAACTTTCATATTCAGCCAAGACGCTGATACATGATACTTTGTGAAGGTTTGTGGATGACCAGGTAAGTAGCAAGTGGTTCTCAGCAATGGAAATTGTTAGGAATATTTAGTTTTCGGAAACTCTCATATTCAGCACGGACGCTGCTATGTGACACTTTGTGAAGGTATGTGGATGACCATGATCCATGTAAGCAAAAGCTGAGTCACCTCCGTTTGCCTAAATTAAATAAAGATTAGATAATTAGTTCATATGTTTTTTTAAAAAGAGGCAATAAAATTATATTTATTTATTTATTTATGTTGCTAAGATAAATACTCTGAAGGTCTAGTGATGATCTGGCTCATATATGTAAGTGCTAAGTTAAGTAAAAGAGGAAACAAACCTTGCGTGCTTTTTTTAAATTATTTTATGTTAAAAAATACTTAAAAAAAGCACGCAACGGTTGATTTTATCTTGACAGATATAAGTCAAGATTAAATCAACCGTTGAATATTTTGTGCAAGTTAAAATTCATTATAATCTAAGTATCGTGAACAGGTTGGTTGCTCCGCTTCTGGAATTACTGGTGTTGACGAACGTGTCGATTCTTGATATAACGAAAGCGTTGTATTTTCTTCCTGCTCAGCAATTGGAATTATGCTTTGGATTTTCTTCTTGAGTTTTTTTTTCTCTTCTTTTTTTTATAGATTCTATTACATAGATTGGATTACGAATTTCCATATTTCTAGTATGTCTTGGGTCTAAAATTTCAGGCAATATACAATTTAAATAAAAATTGCATAATTTTGACTTCATTTTGTTTTCAAAAAAATCATCATCCCTGTAAATAACTTCCGTTTTCAGTGGTTGCGACTAGGGCATGCATTATTCGTCCAAAAAAGGTATTCGGATTTTCCGAATAACCGAATAAAAAATATCCGAATACTTCGAATAATACGAATTTTACGAATAGTGCTTAAGTTTATGAAAAGAAACATTATTATTACTTAAACATTTTAATTAGGAACCTTTTTAATCATCCACACTTAATTAAAAATACAATAAATTACTTTCTTGTGTTCATAAAGTATGACCGCAGGAAACTGAGGGCGTCTAACGTATCGTCATTGAATGAACATCTCAAATGATTGTAAAAATATCTATTAGCCGAAAATACACGTTCTGCTTCAACGCTTGTAGGTGGGATGGTAAGTAAAAAATCGTAAACACGTTGTAGATGAATGCTTTTAGAGCCACTTCGATCTAATAGCGCCATTTCCACCCTGACAGACGTTTCCAAGTCATCGTTTTCGGACAAATGTTTTGTTGATACCTCAGCAGTATTGTGCAAGGTTTCATTAACTTTTGTCTTTAACTGTTCCTTGAATGTCTTGGCTGTATCCTGTTCCCTCTCATCTTCAAGGCGCTGCTGTCTTTGTATTTCTCTTAAAGGCAGGCCATCTTCAGCTTCAAAGACAGTTGTAGCAGCTTTATCTTTGCAAAAATAAGTCTCATTGATTTTTACAATTAAGGCTATTATTTCCGCATGGGATGCCTTTGAAAATGCATGAGGAGTATTCCTTTCGTCATAATATTTTGTAGGATTATGTAAGTACTGTAACGTACTTACCAATGTAGCGTTTCTCCTCTGCAAGATTCTTCTATTTAAAGCTTCTTTAAGCTGGCCACTAATAACGTCTGGATTCATCGCCAATTTCTCCATCATGAATTGAAGTGCAATTTCTGCGGTTAGTAAGTTTGATTTTCGCTCGCAAAGTTCTTCAACTGTGGCCTTTATGAAATTGAGAGAACTAGACATATCTTTCAAAATTAATATTTCAGTATCTGAAAAGGTAGTCTTCTCTTTGAGATCAATTAATGTCTTTTGAATTGCGTCTTTGAATTCTAGAAATCTTGCTATCATATCAGCAAGGCTGCTCCAACGAGTCTTGCAATCGAGGATCAGTGTCGTGTCTTTAGATTTGGACTCCAGGTAAGAATTGAGTATATCCATGCGAGTAGGCGAACCTTTGAGAAATTTTACTATTTTCCGGACTTTAGTTATCAATTCTTTATAAACCAGCTTGGGAATGACCCCACTGGGGTCAGCTTCGATGACAAAACGATTTTCATCTTCGTTCTCTATATCACTTTCGTCCTCAGAGTCAGAGCTATCGCAAGGTCTGTTAACAGTGATGCCGGTGTTACCTTCTGTGTTATCAGCTTTGTATAGCACGTCCAGGACAGCGCACTGAATACCATGGGCCAAGCATAATTGATGATAAGAGGGAACCATTCTCCCTAGTGCGCACATTACGCTTGCACCGTCAGAGATTATGCACGAGATATCGTTTTGTATTGACAAGCCGTAATATACCAATTTTTTCGTTCAATATATTATAACAGTTCTCTGCTGTTCCACGGCCCCTTATTTTCGTCAGTCCCAAGTTTCTAAAACCTTCAGAAAGCTCTGGTGAATGAACATTTACGTTCACATATCTGCGATTACGTGCACTTGTCCATTCATCTAGGCTTACAGCCAATTGTTTTCCTGCTGCCTTAATATCATTAAGCTCCTTTTTTACTTCTTTTTTCAGTAGCTCACTTTTATTCAGAACCTTTTTCTTTATTGTATTTGGTGATTTAGGCAAATTTTTGTAAGCAGCTTTTCCAAATAGCTTTCTCATTGATTCCGAAGAACAGAATATTTTAAACGGTACACCATCTACTGCTGTCATTTTCGCAAGTATAGTATCTAAGTCATCTTCTTCCTTCACATGAAAAAAGTCATTTATTGTTTTAGCCTTTTTTGTTGCTGGCGTCATTATGACATCGGAATCATCGTTCTTGAGAAAAAATACAAAATAGATTTAAAATAGCCTTTGTATTTGATTTTTTATTGTAATAATGGTCAAGTATTCTTAAATTTTAAACAATACAAATGAACTGTGACGATCTAAACTATAAAACATATTTTTTTTGTAGCAAATAAACAAAAGGATTCGGCTATAACTTTTTGTAAACCTGGGCGTTTTTCACGATTTGAGCAATGTAGAAGCCTTAAGCTACTATTTTACGTTAGTATTCTGTGAGAGCGTGGTCCTACGCTGGTCGAGCCGACCCATTCGTGCTACAACTATACTACTAATATAACTGCAGCATGGCTCTACCACGTAAAAAAATATGTTTTTAATAAACAAAGAGACATTATGCGTGGGATGAAAGGATTTTTGCCAAAGTTTTTTTTAGATTATAATTTGATAATGGAGGCCTATGTTCAGCAGTGGACTTGTCAAGGGCTATAATGATGATGACGAATGAATGACTGTGTGCTTTGTTCTATTGTGGGTATGATATTGAGCGTTTTTTGAAGTGGATACGATATGAGTCCATAACATTTATAACTTTTTTAAATTATATTAAATTAATGATTTAGAAAATTCAGAGACTGCAACGAAAACAAATCCTTTAAAAAGATTTAATTCGCCGAAAACGAAAACAACACAGGTGAACGAAATGCAGTTCTTCCGGTGTTTAAAAGAAAAAAATATTCGTTCTTGAGATCAGTTCCAAATTAAAATTATAAAGCACATTGCGCATTGTGTCGAAAAGACATTAGAATTACATAACGGCCAAAAAGGCTTAGTACATACGAAGGCAACACTGAAAGTTTTCAGAACTGGCCACTTATAAACGATATAATAAAAAAATAAATTGAAATTTTTGTCATGGAACTCTTTACTAATATTATTGTGTATTTATTAGTTTATTGTATTTTATTAATTTGTCATTTGTTTACGATTTGGCGGCAATTGAACACGTCAGCATGAATTTAACGCAAGAAAATTTTCGTACAATGATTTTTTATGACTTACAATGTTGTTTAAGTAAATAAGTTTAAGAATAGACTTCGACTGAACTTTCACGCACGATAAAGCCTCATCTCGTGCCACTGTTTGCAACTGGTTTAATGAATTGAAACCATTGAGCTTTTATGTACTACGTACTAGAGGCGACACCGCATTCTCTGTTCCACTCAACTGCGGTGCATACCTACACCGCACTTTAATTAGTCACTCGCTAGGCGCTTATAGAGTTATCACGTGTTGTGTTGATTTAAAAAAATCTCTTGATAAAAATATGCCGTCGTGTGTACTTAGATATTGCACAAATAATTCAAGAAATGTCAGTAAAAACCAAGGAATTACTTTTCATCGGTTAATAAGAAACTTCGTACTTATTTAATAACAAGACGGCATGCACGTCCGTTCATCCAGGCGCTTGGCGCGTACTTTTCTCTATGGCGCGAAGTGACTCACTTCAAGTGATGCTGCGGCTACACTAACGAACAACGTCAATGCCCATAAACGCAACAATTATTGCCTTAAATTTAACGCGATAAAATGAGTGGCTACACTTGAACGGTCAACGTCGTTTCTATTTCAACGCCGTTGAACGGCATTAAATTTGCCGTTGAACGGCGTTAAATTTGCCGTTGAACGACGTTAAATGTTTCGACCGGTGAAGGACCACGCTCTTAATGCTGCTGTGTTTCGTATGGTGAGTGTAGAGAACCAGAGACTCTTTTTACTGGAAACGAGGCATTCCATCTTAGTCCTCACGGGTGAAAACGCATCTGCATTTTGATTCGTAATCGAGGATAAATATGTAGATGTCTATGGGCTACAGCATCCACATACCATCAGGTGGACTGTGTGCTCGTTTGTCACCCTATCCTATAAAATAAAAAAATAAACAAAGAATACAAAGAAAAAGAAGATGGTGGATGCTACAAATGCACAGGAAACGTACACTGTAAATCTATTTATGTTTTATTTTGTTATCCCGCACCCAAATTGCACTTGAAAGATGTCCAATGGTTTAAGGGGAAATATAATCTCAAATGGCTTAGCAAGATCCTTCGTTATGCCGAAAATATTGCAGCATTAATTTTGAAATAAATATATGGTAAAGTTGAGGATTAATGTTAAGGATTATGTTAGACGAAAACACAATTTCGTAAAATTTTCTCGATAGAAAAAAATTCCAAAGTTACTTCCAAAATAAACAATAAACCGCTGTTATTCATAAAATACTTTAAATAAGATCATGAAACTTTGCATACTAACTGAACTAACTATAAAGCAGTGCTTATGTTATTTACTTTTTTTAAAATACCATTATTTTCACTGTAAAAAGAAATTACCTAAACTATCGGCCTCTTGAAGCGTGGTTCCTGCCGCACGGTCACTTCGCTTCGGCCTTTAAACAGGGAGGTTGTGTCGCTTACGATCAGAATATACATTACGCAACAGGACGACGTAAAATTAAAATGGGAAATAACCGTAATAAAAATAAGAAGCGACTGGCTTGGCGTTAAGAAACAGGCATAAATATGATAAACCTAATGAAATAAGTGTCTAACGACCTTTCTACTTACAGTATTAGTGATTACAAACATGTTGGTACATAGCATACGACGCGCGGGCAAGTGGGAACCAAATTAGAATTTAAACTGACTTAACTCTATCCCCTTAAGCTAAATAATAAGACAAACGTAAATATATTTTAATGAAATAATAATGTTACGAGCTTGAGGTTCGTGACGATAAAAAATGCCGATTGAATTACCATTAACACTTTAATTCACTTTACACTAATTAAATTTAAAACATTAATAATTAATCACACTGGTTCACTTTATTTCGCTCCGAAGCTTCGCTTATCTCGCCAAATGCAATACTGCCTCGATCGCATCTTGCAGCGCCTTTAAATACACATTATCACCGAAACATCCAGAATATTCGCGCACCAATCGACAAGGAGCCGAAAGTTCGAGTGTCGGGCTTCTAGAAGCTTAGTTCTTCGTTTCGATACTAGATGGCGCTGTTGGTTGAAAGATTAGTGATGTCATTTTCTGGAAAGCTCCCCTTGCTCTCGTCCCCGACACTAGATGGCGTTAGTGCCGGGTACGTGACGTCAACTTAGGCGCTCAACAATAACTAATAAGCCAATCATAAATACTGGTCAAGTGCGAATTAGATACACGTACCCAGGGTTTCGTACCACTGTACACTATGAATTTTGACCTGCAAAAATTGTTTTTTTTTCTCCTGCTTATTTTTCTTAGTTTCATACCGTAAATTAAAGTACTTTTGAAATAATTTTTTTAATTAAATCTCGAAGAGCTTTTTCATTATTCCACTCCATCGCAGCCATACGTGCAACCCCGTGGCACGTACCGTACACAATAAGACAAACGTAGTGTGGCCGCTTCAACGCGATAATTCGCGTGTTTATCCTTTGATGTACCGCCACTCGAGTTATCGGCAAACGGGAAACGGAATTGTTAATACCGTTGTCAAATCATCGCGTTAATTCGTGACCTACATTCAACGTCCATCAACGCGATAACGACATTTCTCCTTAGTGTGTCTGGCCCATGAGCGATGGAACTGAATGTGAACACTCACTGCCGCTCGCGCTGCCCGTCCTTTGACTTCCGCACGAAAAACCGACATTTGAGGGACCGTCGGGCAGTGGCAGTGGTAGCGTCAGTGTCAGCGCGATTAGCCTTAAATAAGTACGATCTACCAAAATGCCTTTCGAGTGGAATAATGAAAATACAATAAAGTTTTTAAAACTGCTGGAATCAAAAAAAAACTATATGGGAATAAAATAAAAATTCCAAATGAAAATTCCATTTTGAGATAACATAGTACCTATGTACGTAATTAATTCGTCAAATTTATTATATTAATATAAAATTTAGTTTAAGGAATTAATGAACATTGATATTTTATTTCTAAAAACGATTAGTAACTCATATTGATTATTAATTTATTAAAATGTAAAATAAGTTAAATGGTAATATTTGCATAATAGCCTGATATTTAAAAATTATAATTTTATTGTAATTAAAATTATGTATTAATTTATACTGCAGTGCAATTATTAAAATAATAATAGCTTAACTAATCTCATATAATGTTTAATATTATTTATGTGACAATAATGTAATAATTTTAGAAGTATAATTCCGCCTCTAGGTCCTTCAAAAGAGTCATTGCCAAGGCAAAGTCAGAGCACATAGGCAGAATTGGCGAGAAACTAGTTCGCCTTCCTTCTGGAACCCGTGCATTCTGGTCTCTCGCCAAGGCTGTCCAGGGGAATTTCTGTCAGCCATCTCTTCCATCTCTGCACAGGGAGGACGACTCACTGGCCCATACCGCAAAGGAGAAAGCCGATCTTCTAGGCTCTTTCTTTGCGTCTAACTCGACTCTCGATGACGAGTACTCCGCCGACCATCCCGCGGTGTGAGTGCTCCATGCTGGAAGTGCACTTCACACAGCGCTCGGTTCGCAAAGCACTCCTCTCCCTGGACATCCACAAGTCGAGTGGGCCTGACGGAATCCCCCCAATTGTGCTGAGGACGTGTGCTCCAGAGTTGGCACCGGTTTTAACGCGTCTTTTCCGGTACTCCTACTCCCTAGGCGTAGTCCCAAAATCATGGAAGACGGCTTACGTTCAACCGATCCCTAAAAAAGGCGACCGCTCTGACCCGTCCAACTACCGGCCAATCGCCATCACCTCCTTGTTCTCCAAAACAATGGAGTCCATTGTAAACTGCCAGCTCATGAGGTACCTTGAAGATCACCAGCTGATTAGTGACCGCCAATACGGTTTTCGCCGTGGTCGGTCAGCTGGTGATCTTCTGGTCTACCTAACTCACAGATGGGCGGAGGCAGTAGAGTTCAAGCATCCAGGCATTGGCCGTTAGTTTGGACATTGCGAAGGCCTTCGATCGGGTTTGGCACAAAGCGCT